AAAAACAGCCACAAAGAGACAAAAAACAGCCACAAAGAGACAAAAAACAGCCACCAAGAGACACAAAACAAACACAAAGAGACAAAAAACAGCCACAAAGAGACAAAAAACAAACACAAAGAGACAAAAAAAACAGCCACAAAAAGACAAAAAACAGCCACAAAGAGACAAAAAACAGCCAACAAGAGACACAAACAAACACAAAGAGACAAAAAACAGCCACAAAGACACACTAAAGGTTCCCCTGGCTCCGGCCGGCCTGGCTCTGGCCGGACGCTGCTCAGCTTGTGTGTCTGTGGGCCCTAGACGCCGCCCTGGTGTGCCCCTGGGAGGAGCTGGACGACGTGGAGCTCAACGACCTGGCCCAGTTCGGCACCGCCTAGGAGCCCTCCTCCCCTCCCGCTCCTGAGGAAGAGGAGGGGGCTTCATCCTCCAGCTTCATCGTCTGACTCATCCAGAATGAACCGATTCATGAGAATGAACTGATTCATCCACAGGAGCTCAATCGAACCCGATCGGAACCCATTCAACATTTTTACCCTGTGACCCTAAGTATGAGCTGATGAATGGAGGGAAACTGGCCAGAAACCACATCCAAACTCCACAAACTCTCTTGATTCTGTCGATCTCTGTCACACGGAAGCACAAACACACAGCTACAGAGTCAGAAACAACAATAAAAACGGTCATTTTTCCTGAAGCACCCTTGTTTTTCTGCCTCTTCTTTCCTGACCTTAACAGAAAGTCTCCTAAAGTTTCAGCATAGATGATGGATGGATGGTAGATGGATGGATGGTAGATGGATGGATGGATGGATGGATGGATGGATGGATGGATGGATGGATGCAGGGTTTGAAATCCGTGGAAATTCGGTATTAGCCAAAACTAGCGAGCGCGATTGGTACTATTATGTCATGTGGGCTAAAGCGTACTATATCCGAATGTTTCTTCGTAGCCTCGCGTCACGTCGCGTGCATATTCGGAAATCAACATGCAGAAAACCGTTTGTAAAGATCTATCTATCTATCTATCTATCTATCTATCTATCTATCTATCTATC